TACATGTAATCACATGATAAACACGAAACAGAACAATTGGAAACATGAAACCGATAGTTATCCACGCCTGTTAATAAAGGTCTCAGTAGGTTGCTCTGTTGCATCCCAAGCAGCACATTACCATAATAAAAGCCCAATTTGTCAAAGGAACATTTGGGAAAGGTCATACATCTATGGACACAGTAGAACGAATGTCTTTTAATTTGATGAATCTTTGTTGTATTCTCTTCAGATAAAACATTTGGCCCCTGGACTATGACATTGTTAGCCTGATGAAAAGAGCTACTTAAGTGGGTTAATTGGTTTGAAGAATAGCACTTTTGTATCTTCTTCTGATCTTTGTTATTCTAATATTGAGGTGATGACTTATTCTAGCAGTAACCATTCCCTCCTGTTAAAACGAACTACCCAGCATATCATAAACGTCCAATGCAACAGGTCTATTTGAACACAATTAACCGTAACCGCTTTTATAATAAGTCTAGTACCGTAAACTAAATTCAAGCAAAAAACGTTATGTATGAATAATCAACACCAAAGCGAAATATTTTATACGAAAATTGAGTACCCACATAATGCTCACGTAACTCTGAATCAGATTGAAAGGTTGAAAATCATTTGTGTGGATTTCAGTCGCGTGGCAGTATATGATTAAATACGCTTGCACACCTGCATGACACAGAAAATATAAGATGTCTGGTAACCGGACAAAGGAAAAATGATTATCTCTCTATATTTTTATATTCATGATAGAGGTGAGACGAAATTACCCGTTATTATATCATTCACAAAGGACAGTTGAGAAGTTCATTGATTGGTTTAATTATTATTTTCTAGTCTTCAAAATCACTAAACGTAAAATTTTATACAAAAACATCAATTAAATCAGAATTTCTCACAACAATAAAACGAAAAAAGATATGTTAAGTAGTCAATTTTTTAAGCGTCATAGAAACTTGGCATTTAAGCGTCAAAGAAAAGATGCAAAAGGGGGCAGCTAACGTGTATTTCAAACACAGAATATAATAAATTTAAGACTGTGATAGGTATTAAAGAGTTCAAAATAATGCAATCTCCGAACCTCTTGAACAAGACCCTCGGTCGAATTCCTATAACTATTGCTGCTAAACCTATGTCATGAGAAAGTTAACAAAACATTACCATCTTCCACAAAACAACATCAATCAACTATTGCGATAAACTTAGCGTAGCCTTCCCATAATGTTGACGAATTTGACAGATGCTGTGTTCTGACAGGGAATGAAAGAAACATTAACATCAACACCAATTATTTTCTTTTAATTCTCCCTTGGACTGGAAATTGTACCCGGTGCTCTTTAAATACATATATTAGTTCACCCTCACCCCCACCCAAGTTATTGGGTAGGGTTAGTGTTACTCAATCTCTATTTTCCTGTAAAGTGTTTCGTGAACTATCGTTTTTTTTCCAGTATTTTTTTTCTTTAGGCCGATTGCAAGGTGCTGCCTCTTTTGTCTCGACTACCGGCTTTTCAATTTCTGTCTTGTTATCTTCTCTTCTTGAACCCATACCTATTCCGAAGTGTATCAACTGCCTGTTAGACATAGACTGGTTTCTTGTCATTCCTCTGTTTGACTCTATCAAATATAAGGCCCCCTAGCAATTAGGGTGACTCAGATCCCCGTATATTGCAATTGGAAGAAAACCAATCACCTGTTAGATTGTGATTCAGTACTGGCATGATTTAAATGATATATTTTATTGATGAATTTGAAGTAATAAATTATGCAATTTTACTAGAACCGAGCTCCCTCGTGCAAATTTGACATTAGAAGGTCGTAGCACTTCTATTTAGTTACTTTTGGTTTGAATGCTCTCAATTAAGAGTTTTGTAGTTTTATATTTTGGCGTTCCGCGTCCGAAGCGCTTTTCTGGATTAACCTTCACCCGGAACGCTCAAATCCAAACATTTGAAAGCGAGGAATATAAATAAATTGAAACGTTATGAGCTTTATGACCAAAAGGGACCTTAAAAGAATTGCCAAAGTCATCTGAGGTCAGCTTTGTTGATGGAGTTGGAACCTAAGTTTCCAAATAATTTTGTAGTTGTGGGTAAGAAAACAAGGTCTAATTGTAAAAGAAAGTTTTTCTATTATATAACCAATGTTGTAACTGTATAATCTATCCCATTAAACTGTGAACAGAAATATTTATAAAAAAAATAATAATAACGCATGCATGCGCACAAGAAATGTGCTAGGTGTGAAGTACTTTTGGTATCCGCCACTCCTACCCTTACACTATTCTGAAATCTAAATAAAACTTAGTTACGAACAACAGCCGTACCAAAGAATATATTTCTTTCAAGATTACCTCTGAAAATTGATACACACAATTACAAATCTTGGCAGTTGGTACTTCTCTATTCTCATTCTTTTTTTATTTCATAAAAATCTAATTTTAAAACATACAGAAGGAAAGATATAAATGTAGCTGTAGTAGGTGAAAATTCATTATTAAAGAAAACATCTTTGTGACGTTTTCCTATTCAATTGGCGTGGGCTCATGGTATCTTTTTAACGAACCAACGCTTATCCATTATATCTGAGATACTGAATTTGTTAAGTCTGTGGACACTCAATGTCTTTTGAGGAGACAATAGATATGCTTAAAAGGACAAAGAAAAGGGAATCCGCCTTTTAAAATAGGGAAATGTTTCCTCCCTTGTTGTGTAAACAAATAGAAATTGATAGAACTAATATTATAGACTTACAATTATTCTTATATTCTTATACCGAATGTAAAACGCTGATTTAAATCTAATCACGACAGATGTCTCATTCAAATTTAAAACGTAATATTTACTCATGGTTGTTGTTTGAGAGCTTTAATGTGGAATGTATAAACCTTTAACCAAACAATTGTTTACTTTAAACAGGAAACATCTGAATAGAATATTCAATTAAAATATTGACACTGTTGAGAGCAAATTTATGTATGGACAACTTTGGTCAAAAAGGCAAAAGTCGCCATTAGTTTAATACTTTGAATAAGTTTACATTAACCCGATTTGTTTTGTTAGGGTCTTGTGTCATTAGAAAAAATAAATGAGGGCGCGTTCTGAAGTACGTTCTGCGTACGCTGTGAAGTTCTTTCTGCGGGATCGGACATAACACCGATAAAATGAACTATACATTAAAGTTTTTTACGTGTGTGTTTAATATTTTTAGTAAAGTTTATCTTATCTTGGACATAGTCGAGATCAAAATCTAAATACCAAATTTGCTGCGTCCCACAGTTTTCCGGATTAACCTTCATCTGAAACGCCCACAGTAAAGTGTTTGATAGTATAAATGTTTAATACATTGAGATGTAAAACCCCAAAAAGAGGTCACGAGCTAAACCGGGAATTTTTGCTTAAGGTAAATAGTTTCAGGGAAATAATTATTAGTATTTTGAAAATGTATGTTCATTTATGTAATAAAATTATATTCTAGTGCAGAAGCACACACTGAGCGACGAAAGATTCCCCCGACTCTGACTATCGTTTTTACATGCGACTTGATGTTAAGCAAACCATAATCAAATCAGTCAAAAGAATTTTTTTACAAATGCTGTGAGCCATGGTTTCAAACATATTGTTAATGACATTAACAGGTATTATTAACCCAAGCGTTTTCAGTGAAAAAATGCGACCATGAGACCATTTTTCTTGTTTTCAAAGAGTCGTACATGTTTATAAAAATTCCATTTACAATAAATGTATGGACTCTCGACCTATGAAGATGTTTTAGCATCCCCTTTCCGATCACTTACTGCAGTTTCCAAAACATTTTTTTCTCAGTTACATTCACCTAAATGATGATTTCTGGCCTTTAGAAATCTCGGGATAAAAGGTTTTCATTAACGAACCTGAAGTGCTATACCATTCCGTATGTCTTGCCTGACAGATGTATATGTATAAAATAAAATAAAAACATACCGATACGAAATGGTAGCACTCGTTGTCTATGTTTACTGTTGAAACACCAAGATGCTATGTTCAGTGAAAGTACCCCAAGATACTTCAATTTAAATGATTTTGGACATATTTTAATAAAATTTCAATTGACTATACTATACATATATAGCTACATGCAATTAACAAAGCAAAACTTTCTATAATACAAGATATATCAAAATAGAATACCCTGTATTTACTTACAAGATCTCTTTGTGCATTTCACAAAAAAAAATAAAAAATGTATGAAACTGACAATAGAGATGTAAGTTATAGGACATACGTCTAAATGCTGTTTGAAAATGCTGTATTTTTATATATTCATTTTAGTAATACTCGACCAGTTTCGTCCAATTCATGCTACGCTTTAAAATAGTTTTTACGAAAGGAAAATGTAACAAGACAAGGGTCTCTTGGGGTTAAAGTGCAGCTACTCCACTAGACCTGAATTTTTATTGCTCTCACGTAATTCTCTTTTTCAAAGCATCTTACAACTTTTTTATATGAAAGATCCTCGTCTTATTGTATTGTGTATACAAAATGTACTACTACAAAAACTTACAAAGGTTTATAGATTTTTGTTACTGAAGATAGTGGCACAATAAATAATGCTATAAAACCGTCATAAAGTTTTATTACTATCAATCCTAAATCTCATTTCAATTCTTCAAAAGAATTATTACAACACTAAAATGTTCCCGCTAAAATAAATCCATTGAGAAATAAGTGCATTTTGGGCTGTTAAAAGAAGAAAACAAATTTGCAGATGCATGAATTAATCTATTTTTATCAATGCAGCATGATTATGAACTTAAAAATAAGCTTTAAAGCAAATAATGAATGGTGCAATATTGAAAAGGAACACCTGTAACAGAATAAATTGCTGTCTAATAATTTTCCTGTTACCTGGATGATGAAAAGGTAATTTAACAGTTATTATAACAACCCTTTACCGTGAAATATAGGCTTCGCGTCTCGATGGGTTTTATTTTACACAAACGTACTGAAGAGGGTTGTCGAAAATGATATCAACTGCCAATCAAATTAATATCTGTTGACTTCATCTTAAGGCAGTAAACACTCCAGCGTTAAATTGCTCGCCTTGATATCATAACCACTCGACCAATGATAGCCGGTGCATGCCAAATAGCAAAAATGGGTGGGAACTGTTTGTATATTCAAAACACTTGTTCGCGTGGTCCTATTTTAACGTATTTGGTCACAGATAACGCCAGAGATATATGAATCGGAACTAAGAACGGAAGTGGTTTTTATTGTTCTGAACAAGGACTGCCTGGCACGTGTCTGGCACCGACCAATATTGTGTAGATAAGATTCACAATGATTTGACGACAACTTGCACAGATGGAGTTGCAAAGTGCAATCTTGTTTATTCTTTTGATAGCTGAATATGTCTTTGCAGATGAAAAGGTAAAGTTTATTGTTATTCTTTGAATTTCTGTGTTCTGTTGATGAAACACGTTCATATGCAGGCGTAATCGTTACAACAGTGGTGATATTAAATTGAAAAAAAATGGTATTTGATGTACATTAATTCAAGCTTATCAGGGTTTTACAATTTCATTGAAAATGATTCATTTTGTATTAATAACATAAACAAACAAAAACTTAACAAAACCAACTAGTTGTACTAAAGTTTAAATTTAAATGCTTCATGATAGACAGTTTCAGTGTATTCTTTCAGTTGTTTTGCGCAATTTATTTAGTAAATTTTAATCATTTAACTTAATTCTTTTAATTTCAGATTGTTGTTCCATCATTCAAACAGCTGAAATCGTTTTATCCAGGACATAAACACTATGGTGGACATTTTTCTCACAGAAAAATTAAAGAAATGATCGGCATAACTGAACCGCGTTTATTACATGACACAAGTGCTTTGAGACTATCTTATTCTTTGAATAAAGTTGGTGGCGATCATTCGTTAGGGACGAAAATGATTCAGTTATCAACAGCTGGAAAGGACAGCGTCAGTGGCCGAAGTGGACTTCAGTATATTTACAACCCAATTGCATTCGGACCTTATTTTGCCGACAAATATGGCTACCCAAATGTGTCAATTTTACACCAAACAGACCCTATTGCAACGAAAAAGCGATTTTACGGCAAACAGGGAATATTAGAAATAATTACATACACAAAAAATGGAAATAGACCAAGGGGCCATATTGTGCTATGGGACTGTGATCATATTCATGAAGAGAAAGACTGGATTTCAAAGCATCACTTAATAACTGTGGAATTCTGGCAGTCGCCTGGTAAGATTTTAAAAACTTCTTCGGAAGAGTATTTAGAAATTTATATTGTAAAGGTATACATTGTTCATGCCAGTCACAATTGGTACATTGTACGTTAAAATTATTGCATGCATTTAACTATCAATTCAATTGTTGATCTATTGTATAAATGCAAATGGATTTTGACGCGAAGTTTCTAGTTAGTGTATTTTTATCCTGTCGCATTTTCGAATTGATTCAAACTTACAAATATATGTATATGAATTTACAATATACTTTTGACATGAATTGTGCAGATATTTCAACTCATATAACATTAAAAACATGGTGTGGGAGGTTAGGGTATTTAATCCATTTTTAAGTCCACATGAAATGAGTTTGCTCCCTTAGATAAATAAGACAGTTACTTTCCAATTATTCTATTCACTTCTCCCGTTACTGGACCACCGATTGTTTTTTAACACATTTGATGATCTAGTACCTTTTTTCGAGATCTCACGATTTGAAATTGTGTACCGCACAGTCATGTCATACGCTGATTGTAATTTCACATATGTTGGCTATGACGTTTAACCACTGTCTTATCACACATGGCCATTGTTGTTTCCATTTCACACATGAAGCAAGAAAATTTCAACGTTCTACGAGAAAAATAAACTGGTAGTCATAAATACATATACATGAAATGTGAAAAATCTTCGGAGTAATCGATGGTGATTTGCCAATCATATCATCGCTGTCTATTATACCAACCTCGTCAAACCCGAGTACCTACACATGAAAACGTATTGTTTGTAGAACCAGAAATATAATACTGCAGTCGTTTAATTTGACAACATTGCGATGTGAATAAAAGGGGAATAAAGGGTATACGCAAATCAAAACAATAGCAATGACTATCACACATGTAAATACGTAAAGTACAACTAGCAGTTGTTATAAACACTTGAAACATGTGTTCTATTTTGGTTGGCATGGCACAACGCCTGCCACTTCAAATCCTGCTTTTGACATAGATTTTAACATTCTTGTTGAATCAATTATTCTTAACATTGTTAAATTCTTTTACTATTTGAATCGTTTGTCAGTTTAATGAATCTGTTTATTTATTTGTAGATTCAAGTTGTACAGAAGGAAAACGAAAACAAAAAGTTCTCGATACGAACTTGAAGCCGGTTCCGTTCGGTGTTCCTAGAGTAGACACTGTTAGATATCTAAATGCAAAAATGCAACAACAGAAGTTACAGACAATACATAAGAATGGAAAAACATACAAGAAACTTACATATGGAAACGATATTTTACAGTAAAGTGTTCATATGTGTTTTTTCTATGCAGTAATGACATTCAAAGTAAAGTGTTAAAATCATTTTACTCAGTGCAATCAAAAAGATGTATTACAGAATTGGCGTTATGTGGTGCTATTATATACCTAAGTGTGTTCATCAAATAGGCCCTCCCAAAAATTTAAAGTAGAAATATAATTGTTCGATGTTTTCATTCAGGGGACTGATTGTTAATTACATGTAGTTAACAATATTTAAGGGCACCTCAAAGTACATGCTCAAGGAATTACGACGCATTTTCCCATTTAGTGCTTACTTTATGTTATTGTTATTAAACTGTTTTTATTTGTTTATAATTTGATAATGCCGCTTTTATGCTGTATTATTGTTGCATTTATAATAAAGTTTAAAAAAACATGTTGCATAATTACTTTTACACTAGAGTCACTGTATTCAGACATTCAAACTATGGAGCATCTAGTTTTAGTCAACTTTTACACCGGCATCTGAAGCGGGAGGTATATAGTAATGGGGAGACCGTCCGTTTGTTCGCCCGTGTTTCCCACTTTCGTGTTCACAACTGCTGCTTAACCACTTATTACAATTAATCGAAACTTTCTCAAAATCTTCATCATATAATTTATTATAGCATTGTGCACCTATTTTATTTTGATCCGAATTAATGTTGGGGTGTCCCTTTACAAATCATGGCCTATGTCAGGGGCGGGGTATAATTTTGTGATCGTTGCTCGAAGAACCTCTAGTAAGTTACCGACTTCTGTGTAGTTTAAGGTTGCAACACTCGGAAGCAATATTTTAACCTTATACGGGGTTGATCTTTTTTACATATCCTTTTTTTTTGGTTTGGTGCACTTTAAAGTTTTATGTATTGGACTTCCATGAGATTTTTGTCTAGAGCATTAACATTTAAGATTATCAAACAAACACGTGCCATGCAACTAGAGCTGGTATCATAGGTTTGCCTTATTTATTCAACAAAAATATATTGATACCTGTTTTTAAACCCAATATTTTAAACCGGAATTGAAATAAAAACAAATAAACTGTTGACACAGAGATATGTATTGCGTGTGTAACGTGCAAACTATGCAAATTCAAAGTCAAGGCACCATGATTGAAAAAAAAATAATCTCCATAGAAATAAGATGTAATTGCCTACCAATAATCTGTCAATAAATTAACTGGTTCCCTTAAACCGACCTCATCAAAAACAATCGTTGACGCCGCTGACCGAAAAAGCACGCCTAAGTTTTGCATCTGCGACTTCGTCGAGGCGAGACAAAAATGTGCAATCTTTTCTTATTTGAAAAACTTTTAAATTACATAACTTTTTCTTATAATCAGTCAATTTAAGTAATTTGATGAATGTGAAATGCATACGATTTTTTTGAATTTTAAAAGATGGATTTGTGGTTGACACGTCCTTGAATTACATATCTGATTATTTGTTAAGGCTTCTATGTTATATCAAATAATATTGCACACGCAAGAAATAAATAAATAAAGGAATCTAAATGTTTATACGTACTATTGTCGCGTGCAAAGATTTGGTAAAAGTAAATTAAAAGCAATTTTATACAATTTTATATGTAGGTAAAGAATCGTTTGTCATGATATATATATATATGTATATAAATATATAAGAAAGTCTAAATTGAAAACAACGTTAAAACCTATGATTGCGTTGGATAAAAACCGCAATTTTTATACGTGTGCATGCAAAACAAATTTCTTGGTAGAGGGGTCTAAATACAGCACAAACAACATTTTCCAAAAGACCAAAAAAAGTGAAAAAGTATATTTTAACAAAACGCATTTGACTAGCAGGTCGAATAACTGATATTCTTAAACCCTGCTGACTGCCATTGGCGATTGCCAAATAAACGGATCACGAGATGTAACACAATGGATCTAATAATTAATTTATTACTAAACAGAAAACAATATACTTGCAAAAAACATGGTATACCGCAATCATGAGGTGCAAAAATTTGTATACCATATCCGGATTTCGACAATTAATGTCTCTTCAGTGATGTTAGGAATCGAAACGGTATTTGGAAGGCCATATAATTTACCTCAATTTAGGATAGACTCTTGAATTTTGAAAGAGTCGAAATAGATATATTGCGCTGAACATTTCTGTCACCGTTGTTCTCTGGTCTTTTTGGAACTGACAAACCATTCGAGAGGGAGAGTTCAGTATACCTTTTTTTATAAAGCGGCCATATGCTAATGCGTCAGTCCCAAGTCAGTGGTTGTCTTTACATTTATCTTCAGGGTTTTGTCCTTGATGGAATGTAATAGGAATAAAGAATATGTTTAGTATACGTCATATTGGTGCTGATTGCAAATATTTGGTAGTAAATATTGAATTTTTCACAACTAGACTAAATCCATTGGATTATACTGATTAATGTATTGTCTTGGATAAAGGATTTTTTCAATAAATTGATATTGGCTTTGAACTAGCTTCAAGTAACTGCGAGTATTCTCTGATCGGTACATTGTGTCTTTAGTTTTTTATGTTAGTTGTTAGTTTGCTTTGTATCAATCTCATGAATCGAGCCCTTTTCAACTAATTTTTTATACAAAAATAAAGAGATCTGGTATGATAACCAAACCAACGAGACAACTATCCACCAGAGTTCAAGTGACGTGGATGTAAACAATCATAGTCACCGTACGGTCTTCGACAATGAGAAAGACCCAAACCGTATAGTCATCTATAAAAGGCTCCAACAGGAAAAATTTGAAACAATGCAAAGGGAAAACTAACAGCCTAATTTATAACAATACAATAACGAAAAACAAATATGACAGACATGAACTAACAACAATCTCTAAATTACAGGCCCTAACGTTTATAGTTTGTTCTTAAGTTGTGCTTTTGTACGACTATCCAGAATTAGAGGAGGGTTGGCGCCCACAAGCATGTATAACCACGCCACATTCTGTATGTTCCTGTCCCAAGCTAGTAGCCTGTAATTCAGTGTTTATCGTTTGTTGCTGTATATCACATTTTTTTCTCGTTTGAATTATTTTACATTTTAACATGTGGGGACATTTTATATCTTGATATGCGGTATCGGTTTTGCTCATTAATGAAGGCAGTACGGAGACCTATAGTTGCTAACATTTGCGTAATTTTGGTTTCTGTTTGATAGTTGTCTCATTGGAAATCACCCCATATCTCCTTATTTTATTTAGGGGCGGTTTTGAGCTGGATATATGATATTGACAAATGTCTATTGTTGAAGACTGTATGTTGATATGTTGATTGTTGGGTTGCTCCAACATAACAAGTCTGTGTTTTTGCATACGTACTTGCTGTTGACACGTGTAATAATTTTTCAACTTTTGGCTGAAGCTGCGTGATTTGCAAGCACAACTTTTTACTAATAAGAGCCTATTTCCGTTAGTTAAGAGCAATTTGTGATGTAAGTGTTTGAAAATGACAGGTGTATGCCTTAAAGAAGCCATTTAAATGATAACCTCACCTCTATTGTTAAGATAACCGACGTGTCCTTGGAGATTTGAAGTGCTTTCTATCTTTAAAAGTCTAACTTTTTAAATAAAAGGATCGACATGTTTTGGTAAAACTCTTATAACTACTTGCCTTTGTTTTGTGTAGTTTTTGTTGGAATTATTGTATTCTGCTTAGATACCTATTAAGCCATAAATGAATTTGAATATTTTGTCTCAAATTAGTTTACTATATTATGTCGATAACTGCAGATGAATTTGAAAATTTTGCCTAAAATGTTTTGTATTTTGTCTCTTTTATTATCGCTAATACTACATTCTAAGGGACGCTCTAATACTACATTCTAAGGGACGCTCCAAAAAAAAAATAAAAATACAAGACTGTTTTGAGTGTGCATACTACATTAATTGAAGAATCCGATAAAAAAAAGTATTCCTTAGGGGAAAAAACCAACGGAGTTATGACAATTCGATAGGAATATTAGTACAAACTGTCATAATTGTGCCATCATAGTAATAGCCTGTTATGATTGCACATTATTACATATCCACCCAAGGAAGGCGGTCGAATATAGTAAGTGATGTCCGTCGGTTTGTCATACTTTTGGATTCGAGATGATAATTGAGGAACAGATTGGTCGAATATTTAGGAATCATGAACCATAAAATATATGTCCATTTCGATTGTGACATTTTTGGCATTTACCATGCAACAGTTCCCTATGCCCTTTAATATTTTAAAAATGGATTTGTAGGGTTTAAAAAGGATAATGAAAGTCCAAATCGTTAAAATATTTTTAGATTTTAACACAATGTCATGAACCATAATATAATACGTCATCTTCGATCTTGATGATTTTGGCATTTATTGTTCCAAAATCATGTCTCTAAAATTGTTTTAAGAAAATGGAATTTGTTTTGGTTTCCGGATTGTTATTAGATTGCCACGGGATAAACTCTTTTTGAATTTAAAACACAAGGCCATGAACCTTGAAATACATGTCGAGTTCGATTTTTACGGTTTAGAAATTTACTGTTCAAGAGTTATGTCCCGTTATCATCTTAAAACGTTTATTTTTAACTCCCGTCGAAATATTAACGTAATATCATGGATCATAAACTACAGTTGACGTATGGTTTTGACGAATTTGACATTTAATGGTCCAATGTTTTGTCGTTATTCTTCATGAAAATAGGAGTTTTGGTATCTTGTTGATAGTAAATAATAGGTAGTGAGTCATTGACGGACTGAACTTTGGTGCTCAATCATTGATTTATTGTACTTTAGTGTTACATTGTAAGCCATTAATAATTTGTACTTTAGTAATACATGCAAGTCATTGTCAGACGTACTTTTGTAACATGTGTTACGACATCTACTTAAGCAATAGACAGATTACATTTTACTGTTATCATATTTTAAAGCTACTATTTACAGAATTCATTGAGTTGTTGTTTGTAATATTTGACCTGTCCTTGTTGATTGGTTGACAAACGGGCATATAATTGCTTACATGCGCGTCATTTGAACTCTGGTGGATAGTTGTCTCATTGACAATTATACCACGTCTTCTAATTTTTATGCACATCTCAATCACGGAGATTTGGAATCCATTTCTTCCACGTTTGACACAGGCATTTCTCTCTGAATATTGTTTAACCTATGTACCTGAATATAAGTATCTTTTTCAGAGACCAGTGCCTGTGGAGTTTGGGTATAAAAACGAAGTCAGAAGTTTAGCATGATTGATTGATTATTGTTTTCCTAACGCTAAGTATCAATTATATCATGCATGTTCAGGATGAGAACAACTTATTACACGGCATCGAATATTCTATTATCTCTATTCCGACCATACGTAACTGTGCATTTATACATCCCTCTCAGTCATGGACGCCTCTGTCTAG